CTTTTCTTTCTTCAGGTGGCCCGGCAATCTGAGGGAGGGTCGCGGGTTCGAATCCCCGTCCCACCAAACATGCTTGCCCTTTAAGCCGTAGGGTGTTATAAAGTGACGATCAATCCCACTGTTCATTGGGAAAAGAGTTGCCCAAGAGTTGGCGGTGAGTGTTGATGACTAGCCGCCTTCCCTCTAGTTTTTCACTGCTAAATCATTCTTCTGGACACTGACATCGAATTATTATACGTATGATTTTAATTTCTACTTCAATAGTTATTTATTTTTGTAACGAGAGTTCGTGGTTAAGCTAGTTCGTATATTCAGACCATTTCATCACATTCAATCCGTTTCTTATTTTCTTAGGATTGCTTGTATATATATATATATTCAACTGTGGGCGGAATATAAAAGTGATTCTCAATTCCAACATTTGGTTCATAGTTAGCGGTAGCGGGTATTGCTGGTTGGCTTTGAATCCTGGAGGTCTTTATGATGTGGCCGTTTTCTCATGTGCGTCCCCCGGTTGGTTAGCAGTAAGTTTTTGGACTCATAACGCTAAATTCTGAGGTTCGAGTCCCCGTGATGAACAGAGCGCATTTAACCAATTGTTTACATTCTGTGCCATTCAGATTAATAAATTCAAATTCCGTTCTTGTGTCATTAGATGTATTTAAACGATGATTTTTCTACATGTTCTCTGTCCAATTACATTCAGGTGTAAAAACAGTGGAATGTCAATCCCAGGGATATTTGTAATATGAGACATACAACATGATACAAGTGTTTGATACGAAACAGAGGAAGTCTGGGAATAAATTGAAAAAACAAAAAAAAACGCACCCAAGAACTAGTAATTTTTTTATAAGCTGTACACAAATGATAATATGTCTCCACGACACTGAAATCTTTATTCGTACACAAATAACAGATTTTCAGATATCGCTAATTTCACCAGTAGGTTTCCAGGGCCTGTCTCGATTTTGTCTGTAAACGTCCAAAGCGGTTAGCTTTTTCACCGGTAAAATTCACTGTCATAAGAGAAACGTACAATTTTTTTTGCTAAACATCCGAATACCAACGTAATTAAAATGCATGTACGAATTTGTTAACATCCATTTGCTTATGTTATACCAATACAAAACTAGTGTCGGGATCTTTTGTTTATTTCGTAAAGCACAATCTATTTATCTATCTACGCTGTTTGTTTTAATACATTTTTTTTTAGTAATAAGTAATAAATAATTGAAAAATACTCTGTGTTGAATCGGACAAGGAAAATTACCTATACTGGTTTAAAAACCCATAAAATTAGTTATAGATATTGCAAAGATTAATTAAAAGAAAAAACAACAACTAATACCACGAAAAATGACTGATGCGAATAGATGTTTTAATATTGACAACGTTTCGGGCTGGGACGATTTTAAAATCACCAGACGAAGAGCGTCCCATACCGAAACGTTGTCAATATTAAAACATCTATTTCGCATTAGCCATTTTTCGTGGTATAAGTTGTTTTTTTGTTGTTGTTGTTTCGATTTTTTCGTACCACAACGGTTTATTTAGTTGATTTTTTTCTTACAAATATTATTTTCCTGTCCCCCCAGCGCTCACCTAAATAAAGTGATACTAAAGAAACCCCAAGCTCTCGAGTATTCCTTGAGAGGAAACTAATTGATACTACTACGTGTACTGTTACTGCAGTAAAATAATCATCGGCTACGAATAACAGATAAACACTGTCATTAAGTAAAAGTTTGTTCAACAAGTGTTTATGCTGTATATAACGGTTTATATATATATATGTATATTATTAGTGATTAGGTAGTGACGTTTGTGTATGTGTCTTTCAGTGTGTTGCCTAGAAATAGGCTTAAAAAAATGGTTACATTCGATTACAAACAATGTAACAGAAAGTAAAGGTGTTGTGAACTTATATATATGTATATTATTAGTGATTAGGTAGTGACGTTTGTGTATGTGTCTTTCAGTGTGTTGTCTAGAAATAGGCTAAAAAAATGGTTACATACGATTACAAACAATGTAACAGAAAGTAAAGGTGTTGTGAACTTTTGGCTAAAGTAAAATAACTGGGGAGTTACACGTGACTCATAACCTTTCCGACGAACCTGTTTTATTTAGGTTACTAACTTTCAATTTAAATAACGAAACAAATATTTCTTTTTTCAAGGAAATTATAAATCATCATAACTAAGACAAGGAAAACCAAAACACGTGCTTTTTACCGGAATAGAACTAAAAACATATATTTATTTCCTATGATATATAATTTTATAATAAACATTTCTTGGTCTTTAATGAGTAAATACTTAACTGTTTTTATATATTCTTATTTTTTATCTTTTATGTACAGGTAAATCTATGGCATCTATAACGACGGTGAACATTGAAACTAATTCCTCCTCGAACGAACAATCTTGTAATCAGTGCAATACCCAGTTATGTACATCATACGCCCTTGGAGTATTAGCCTGTGTTCTGATCATGGGCGGAATCTTTCTAGCCTTCTACCGGTTCGATTATATGTGGCTAATTGTATCTGCGGCCGGCGCATTTTTGGTTCTTGTTGGATCAGTACTTCACTTCTGTGGTTCCAAGACCAACGATAAGAAGCAACAGAAGTTGAAGTCAAGAAGACCTCCTGTGAAGCATAACCAGAGTCTCACAGAGCAACTGATTCCATCAGCGCCCCCACTCGGCAATACCTGTTCCTCTAGCCAACTTTCTCTCAATATGTTACCCCCCTATTTTCCTCCTTACGACACGATATCAGTCACCTCTCATACACCTGCACCCTCAGCTCCTATGTTGAATATTAATGGCCAGAATTATTTGTTATTGTCTGTGAATGGTGACCTGTCTTCAGCTGACACGCAGAGCATCGTAGCCAGGCTAAGTACAGTCCTCTCTAATGCTACCCTTGATTTTCTCAGGTATAACAACCTAATATAATTGTTTGTTTTTGTGGAATTAAAGGTATTATACAAAATTATGAAAATTGTACGCGAACAGAATAAGCCCAAAATGTTTTAATTTCTTCACAAAATATTTGTATAGGTTAGATTCGGTTTTAATACTTATGGAATAAAATTTTTGATAAATTATTCTCGTAAACTTTCCCCGATAGGGTGAATTGTGTATGCGTTATTCATGATCGTATCGTTGTTATAAAGATTTGGATTCTTTGTTTTGTAAGGGCATGTGCAGTTAATTTCATCTGGTTTAGTGGTTTTAGGACCTTCTAATTATATATATATATATAAATAAATAAACTGTAATTTCTAACTATTAAAATTATACCAATTGCCATGACAAATTTTAATGTAAAATGAATATTTTTTTTTAAGGAGAGAATCAATATTCTTGCTTTGTTTTACGAATTGACAAGCTACTTTCTCCTCTTATAGTGAAAGCACCGGACAATCCAACTCGAAATGTGATCAATCTGCTATACAAACTGGAGATCAGGGTTGTCAAACTGAAACCAACCAATCTTATACCGAAGCAAAGCCTCCTTCCAATCAACATTCATTTCTTCAAACTATTAACGGAGTAATTTCTCTCCAGTCACAAGAAAAACAGGAATCTGAAAACCAGACCCGGGACACAAATGTTTCCAATACTAACAGACAACCTGATGACTGTTTTACTGAAAACTTAAATAATCAGAATATTTCTAGCGGGACGACGGGGACGAACTTTGTCATTCCCGGTCCCGTCAGTAACAACAACGGTCGATGTCACGATTCAACTTCGTGCGACGACCTCAATGAAGCAAGTATGGAAGAAACCCAGAGCTTACATCCTAGCGTGAATCAACTGCCATTAGAATCTGTTCATGAAAACAGTCGAATAGATTCCGTATTTGCAAATGAAGACACTACAAGTGAAAGTTTAGAAGCAGATAGCGAAACCATTCGTACAGTTTCAGCTTTGAGCGAGGAATGTTTTTTAGAGAACAGCGAAGAAAATGGAGAGCAAGTAACTGAAGCAATAAATAATGAAATCAGTGTTTCAGAAGCCCTGATTGTTAATGATGAAGAAGGTTTCCACAGGAATCTGGAACAGGAAGACTTGTATGACGTTCCAAGCCAGTTGATCAGACCTGTTGAACCGGATTTTATAACAAGACCTAACCTAGACATACGTTGCACGGGTGAACCAGGTCGAAATACTGATAATAGGGGACTTTTATCTTCAACAGACGTGCCTCAAGAAACTTCATTCGAACACGGTACCGTTAATATAAGTAACGACATTTTGGAAGAAAATATATTAACTGCTGCTTCACCATTAACCGTTACCTCGCCAGTTGGTGTTGAACCTGTTACTCCAGTCGCCTTAACGTTTGTGGAAGGTAACATGGGTGATACACGTTCTACTGAACCGGTTTCCTCATGCACTAACCGTTGTGTGCAGGCTAACCAAAATCAGTCAGAGAGAGATTCTTCTACAGAAGGTCTAATTGACACGGAAGGCAATAGATATATCTCAGAAACTGTTGTTACTAATGGTCAACTTATGAGTGAGTATATTATTGATCAGTCCCAGGGGATTGGTTTAGACGAATACGTAGAATGTTCACTAGATGGCACTGATATTAATTCCAGTCCTGACATACTCTATGCAGCTCCTGTCGAATCTCTTCTACAGAGTGATAATGAGGACGAGAATCTTAGTGTCCGAGCTTCACCGCCTCCCAGCTACGAAGAGGTAACACAAGATATGGAAATTACTGACACCGCTTATGACTTAGCTTATGGAACGATTTGAGCATTTTTAAAATCTGGAATATGATGTTGGACACATCGTGCATGAAGCATGATTAATGTGATATCCTGAACATTATCATCGAAAATACTGTGCATTAAAACGCAGGAGTGTACATTTGCAGGCCAGATGATATTACTTGGACAATATGTGTATTTCCACGACTTCTATGTAGTTATATACACATGTACGGATTAGAAAAAGTTTGACTGCAAAGGCTGTAAGCCTAAATTATTTCATCTTATAATTTTCGTTGATTCATAGCTAGAGATATTTACACTTTTCAAGAACTACACCTTACTGAGGATTTCGCTAGCTCTTGACATAAACGTACATTCCAAGTGGAAATACGGTATAAACAATATTAGTGCTAAATCACAGGTCTTAGCTTGTACAATTCCTATGGTGTCATTTTATAAAAATATTGCATTAAGCTATTTTGTTGATTTCGCTTATTTTTAGGAACACACTAGTAATCGTAGATCTTAAACTATTACCTGGAAAATAATTTTACTTGGTTTATAAGGTGAATATACTCAGATCAAATGAGAAAGCAATAAAACTTAACTACGTTGGTCCTAAGTAATATTACTTTCACGAAAGGTTTGAAAAATCGTCTATTAAGCTGCTCAATATAACTGTTGTAGGTATATCAATAAGTCTTATTCTCGTGAAATTCTGCTCCTTTTCACCTCATAAAGTGAAATTTTAGAATATTTTTGGACAAAGCCTATTTTTGGTGATCTAATATTTATACTTCATAAGTGTATATTTTGAACTACGTGGTATTTGTTGTTTTATACACTGTTTCATGGTGTGTACAAGTGATATGAAAGGAACTTTAAAAAGTCATTCGTTTTAGGAGCAGCTGGAAGAATTGACTTCAGACTCTTGTCGTAAGACATGTGGTATACAATTCGTTACTGAATACATTTTAGTTTTAGTTTTTTAAATTGCATATTCAAAATAAACATGTTACGCATTAAGTGATAGCAAGTTTGGCTGATATTTAGATTTTTTGTATTCGAAAGAAGGAATGTTTTGTAATAAATAGATTTTCATTCAACTTGGCTACGAATAATTTAATTTCCATGTTTTAATAAGATTGTTTTATGTATGTACATTACTGTGACAGAAATATCACATAACCTCAGGACTGCGCTACTATCTTACAAACTCGTTCTTTTTTTTTCACAAAATGCAGAGCCCGGCATGGCCAGGTGGTTAGGGCGCTCGACTCATAATCTGAGGGTCGCGGGTTCGAATCCCCGTCACACCAAACATGCTCGTCCTTTCAGCCGTGGGGGCGTTATAATGTGACGGTCAATCCCACTATTCGTTGGTAAAAGAGTAGCCCAAGAGTTGGCGGTGTGTGTGGTGATGACTAGCTGCCTTCCCTCTAGTCTTACACTGCTAAATTAGGGACGGCTAGCACAGATAGCTCTCGTGTAGCTTTGCGCGAAATTAAAAAACAAACAGACTAAATCCTGATATTTCATATATGTAGAAGGCACAAGAACTCTCCAGTGGAAGGTATGCCCACCACGCCATACGAGGAATAGAGACAACTACCGTGAAATGTAATGGTGCCAGAATAACATTTACTATTCTGGAAGCCATCTGGTGTAATTTGTTTCTTTTGTTCTTTCAGGAAATTCATCTAGTTGATGAGGACTGAAATACTGTGATCTAAGTTTTAGAATTACTTCCCTCCTTACTTGCAAATACTTTTTATGGCTAATTTCTGGGTGAAACATTCCACGTTATTTTTGCTACTTTGCGAAAATAACTTTTAAATAATTATTCTAGATCGTATTTTTAGCTGTGTTTGTAACCTATTTATTGCCAAACTTTGTGATAGTTGCAGAATGTCAAACTTTAAAACAGTACAAGTGTCGTAGATTATTTGTAGCGGGAAACATTATCTTGCTAGAACTCGCCCTTTGCAGACAGTAGAGCATCTTTAGGGTATCGAGTGCACGGCTGCTTATGAAATTTCAAAATTTAAGTTAAAAATAATAATTGTAACCCTATTTCCAAAATTTTAAG